GTGGCTCATGCGCCTGTGATTCTATTTGTACGGCAAATGGACCAGAGATATTAGCTGATGCTACTTACTCTGCGGCTGCTACTTGACTCGAATTTATTAGGCCCATGCCTCCCATTCTCACTGGCAGCGCCAGCAGCTCGCGTTCAGCTTGTGTACATTTGTGACCTGTATTGGACGGTATTAAGGCATCAGCTATTGCACGCTCTAAAGGTGCGAGTAGATCTTCTATTTCAGGAAGAGTTCTCAGAAAGTATGTTCAGCGGTGTTTTAAACCAAAAGTGAACGCTGCATAGCAAGCCTGGGGCTGCGACGGAGCAAACTCAGCCAATTCTTTCACCTGCCCCGCCCATTCCTCGACTTTGTCGTTGATGCACTGCTCAAGATAGGACCTGGAGCCCAGCGCCGCACTTAGGTACTTCCGTCCTTCTGGGGTGATGTTAAGTGCTGTTTCTTCAGAGATGCTCCTAGCGGTCTCCTCCGTATCAGGCTTCGTAACAAGCCTGCACTTTCCAGCTAAGTCCGGTTCTGCCATTGTCAGCTCATCCCACCACACTTATTTTTATTTATTTATTTACTCCATTTTCACTGCATCGTGCTAAGAACTAAAGGTGTGATTGTAGCTTGCTCTACTTCTAACACACGGCTAGCGTAATGGCGCTTCTTCTCTGTTCCGTGCTGCCTGAATATCTGGATCCATACTTCTTAGGGGTCTGCATTTGGGTGGCACTCTCCTATAAAAAAAGCCGACCTCTGCCTCTCCCAGAATTCCTTAGCAACTATATCCAGTCGTGCATCAGGGGCGGTGTTGTCTCCCCTATTCAACTCTTCTCCTGTGATGTATTGCAAAACTTGTTCCATTTCAACACCATTGCACACCAAGCGAAGCAGTTCCGCCTCCAATTCCCTCAGTTCATTATGGCGTTGTATGGTAAATCCGCTCCGTTTGCATATCATAGCATGATCCACGTTGAAGATGTCCCCAAAAACACAGAAAGAGGGTGTATCAGGAACTTCCCAGTCGTACCTGAATTTCACAGCGTCTCGAAACTCACTCTTGTTTAAATCAAAATTCATATCTTTAAGGGGGCATTCTGGTCAAAAAAAAGTAAAAATAAAATTGTACACGGAAGACATAAAATCACGCAATATGTTGATTGCGTGACCAAAAAGTTAAAGAGAATTCCTGTTTTCAAATGACTTCGGATCGAACAGGAGAACAGGAGAACACCTTTTGTTAAATGATAAGTTCTCTTACCATTTCAATTTTGTTCTTGCAAAGATAATCCGCCA